TCTGAATATCGCAAGTCGATATCTCTTTCCGCTACGAAAATATTGAGATTCGAATTTGGGTAAAGGGTTAATCGGCCTGGACTATTTGGTTTAATCCACCAGAGGACATTGACTACTTTTATTTGAAGTGTTTGCCTGATAAGCTGGCATGGTTAACTTCACTACTCCAGCTTGAGATGTTGGAGATTTTGGAGATATATATATATATATATATATATATATATATATATATATATACAGGGTGACTTCGAAGTTGAGTCATTTATTTTAACAGTGAGTAGATCTGATCAAAAGAAATGTGTTTTTCATTTAACATTTTTGGGGGAGTCTTTACAAATTGCTGCCGCGGAATCACGGATTTATGCGGATCGGTTTCCCAATCAAGTGCAACCAACCCCTCGTGCCTTTGTTAATGTAGTACAAAGGGCTCGTGAATCAGGTGACTTAAGACCTCACAGGGGAGGGCATGCCGGTGCTCCAAGACCGCACGATCAAATACAGGTCGGCACTGAAATACTTGTCTGGAGGATACTTTATAAAACAAGGTAACATTTTTTTTTAGTTTTTTTTATTTTTACACACATATTTTGGTTTATCTTCCTTCTACAATCATTATCTGAAAATTAATGACTCAACTCACCCTGTATATATATACATATATATGTGAGCAGTAGTCATTGCTAAAGCCAACGACCAGTTGGGCACAAAATACAATTAATTGTTAATTGGGAAATTGGCAAATTTTTAGGCTTAAGTTGACTCTTTGGACGATAAAATCAAGCTTTCGGCATTCTCTATGGAGCCTTCATCAGGATCAATATCGTAGAGTACCTTTGCCAGAACAATTATTTTACTTTTAATAACAAAGTGTTTTCACAAACACATGGTTGCCCCATGGGCTCTGTGTTGTCTCCAATTTTGGCAGAATATGTAATGGATGACCTGCTTGATGTTGTTATTCAAGTTTTGCCATACAATCTAATTTTCATAAAAAAGTATGTGGACGATATTATCGTTTGCCTTCCTTATTATAGGGTGGATGATCTTGTTGAAATTTTTAACAGTTATGATCCCTACATCCAGTTCACCATCGAAAAAGAAGATGACAATCAATCTGTTCCCTTTTTGAATTCAAGATTGATTCGCACCAATGACAATATATTACTGGTAGACTGGTACAGGAAACCAATTTCTTCCGGAAGGTTCCTGAACTTCAGGTCTTACCACGAACTTAAAATAAAAATAAACCTGGTGAATCAAATGAAGAACAGGGTTATAAAAATCTCTGACAGTACTTTCCATCTTTCCAATTTAAGGAAGCTTTCAGCCTTAGTTATCAACAATGGCTATTCGAAGTATTTGGTTAACAGAATCTTGTTCAGCTCTCCTCCGAATATTTTGCCAATGACGAATAACAATAGTGAAAATGAAACACTGTTCAGTCCAACCAGACACCCATGAATTCTTCAACCAATGAGAATAATAGCACTACAGTGGTTGCTTCTATTTCCAGAGTTAATTATGTTGTCTTGCCATACATCAAAGAACTAACACCAAAATTGATCAGGCTGTATCATTCCTTTAATTGTCGTTTTGCTTGTAAATCAGTGCTCACAGTCAACAGCTTGTTGTCCAAAATGAAGGATAAGGTTCAGTTGCTTGATTCAACCAACACTGTCTATCGCATCAATTGCAACAACTGTAATTTAGTTTATATAGGCCAAACTTCTAGGTCACTGAAAGGGGATAACTTCACACAAAAGTGACGCCAGATTACATCGAGAGAGATGTGCTTTGGCATCTCATATTAACAACACAGGTCATTCTATGAATTATGGCAGTATTGAGGTTCTTGATAAAGAAAAAAGACTCTCAAAATGTTTATTTTTAGAAATGTCCCACATTTTCATGACAGATCATTGCATGAATGAAAAGGCTGATGTTAAGCAGCTCAGTGTCATTTATTCCTACCTGTTGAATTGCGAAAAGCTAGAACGTCTACATATCCAAATCGAACCAACATCGTCACAAAATTAGAATACATTCCCCATTGCTATCCTGGTAATTGAAATTTCTCACTCACAATCTTTAATATAAACTCACATAACCCATCTTTTCAAGGTTGTATCACTGTCTCACATTCGTACGCTCATATGAACTACACATTTTCCAAAACAAATTAATTCAGCATTTTAGTAATTTGGGTGGAGGTTTACCGAGCGTCCCTCGTATACTTCATACCCAAATTGGACAATGAGGTTTATAGTTCCACGGTCCGTCGCGTCAATCACTTGTCATCTGTCGACGCATTATCTTGTCTTCTCACTTTTAATAATTTTTAATACGTTCGGGTGTATTGATATTTACAAGCCCAATGCCTCCGTCCTTCTGTTTTTATACTTATTACAAGTTCTATCTTCTCTACGTTCGTTTTGAAACACCTTGTGGCTGCAACCTCAACGACGAGTAAGTTGTTTGACAATTTAAATCTTTCCTGTTTTCTTTGATAGCATCACAATTGTGTTTTCAGAAACCTGATGAAAGCTCCATAGAGAATGCCGAAAGCTTGATTTTATCGTTAAAAGAGTCAATTTAAGCCTAAAAATTTGCTAATTTCCCAATTAACAATTAATTATATATATATATATATATATATATATATATATATATATATATATAGATGAAAAAATTAAAGCTCCTGCCTTTTGTAGGGTACTTCGACAAAAATGTTAAGCAAAGAGGGCTCTTTATACTTTATTAATCTCTCTAGCTTTCAATGGTCTTTGCCATCATCATCCGGAGCTGCAATAACATTGAGAAGAATAGCAACAATTGTGCAAAATGAATTTTAAATTAACTTACAGCAGTATATGAGGATGTTGCTAAATGTTATTCATGTTCAAGTCCTCACCTACTACAGTAAGTTAATTTAAAATTCATTTTGCACAATTTTTGCTATTCTTCTGAATGTTATTGCAACTCCTGATGATGATGGCAAAGACCATTGAAAGCTAGAGAGATTAATAAAGTATAAAGAGCCCTCTTTGCTTAAAATGTTTGTCTAAGCACCCAACAAAAGGCAGAAGCTTTAATTTTTTCATCTAACTGGTCTAGACGACAATGACCACGTCTCAAGTTATATATATATATGGTGGACTATACAGGGTGTTTTAGAAGGACATGTCAATATGTCTATGGTAGAAAGTACATACATCAAAAAATAATAAAAAAAGTTCGTATAAATATGGGCCCAAAGATGTTCCCTACCGAAGTTTTATTTACAAAATTAAATAAGTATTAGTTTAAAATACTAAAAAACACACTTTTATAGCTAATCGAACTAATAATAAGTTTATATTACAGTACTAGATGGTCGAACAATCAACCATAATTAATGACAAAATAAAATTATAATAAAACCTAAGTTATTAACAGAATAATTCAGAGTAAATAGTGTGGGGTGCTTGATATATTAAATGTTAAAAACATTCTATTGGCAATTATCTATGAGAGGAGAGTTATGCAAATTTTTTAAAATTAAAGTTAAATTTTATTATAATTTCATTTTGAGGTCATTAATTATGATTGTTCGACCATCTACTAGTGTATATAAACTATTTGTAATTAAAAATTATTTTTTAATTTTTAGTTAGGTTAGCTATAAAAACGTGTTTTTAGTTTTTTGAACTATTATTTATTTTTAATTTTTTTTAGTTCGAATTATCAATTAGTTTTTTGTGGACATGTCATGATAGTGCATTATCATGGGTCCTTGATACGTGTGCGAAGTTTCAGATTAATCAAACTTTTAGCATAATTGGTGAAAATTATGCTCAAAGAATCCGTTACATACATACCTAAATACATACATACATACATACATACATACATACAGGTCAAGCTAATAAAATCGTGTTAAAAAATAATAAAAGGTATACCACAATCTGCCGTCCGTGAGGATGGAACTCACGACTCCTGGTTTACAAAGCCAGTGCTCTGCCACTTGTAGGTGCTGTACTCGTAAAGCGGCATTTGAAATCCGTGGCTTTTTATTAACATCTGCTTTTTCAGAATTTTTGTTATAGATAAGGATAATGGAAAACTATTACCAAATTATTGCATTGTCATCGGTCCTTGATTCGTGTGCGAAGTTTCAAATTAATCAAACTTCTGATAATTTCAAGGACTACCTAGAAGAGTCTCTTTTTTTAAATAACTTAGGTTCGGCAACACCAATGTATGACGTATTATACATTTTTGGAATCAGAATTAAAAACTCTATGTATCTGTACAAAAGTACAATATGGCGCATAAAAAAATAAAGTTGATCCTGGAGGACAAGGGACGAAACGTGATATTGCAATTCTAATTATGCCTTCTTGTAGAAGAGAAAAAGAGGCAATATTAACGTGCAATTTATTTTGAAACCCCACTACAAATGAAGTCAGGAAAAAAAATAAGCTGGTTTTGGGAAAATTCGGTTATTTCTGTCTCTTTGAGGAAGTATTCTGAATTTCGAAGGTTTCTAAGCGGAATTTTGTTGATTACCTAAATACACAACTTTGCCCCCATTTGAGGGACTCCGTATCTCTTACAGTTTCCGAGATCCCAATGGTGAGGGTCGAATTTGAAACATGCGGTATAGTTTTTTTACCTATTAACCCTGCCGGATATGGTGGATCACTTCTAAGATCGCCAAGACTCAGTTGAAAGTATTTTCTTTCACTAACAAACAGGGCGACATATCCAGTGTGTCCAGTAAAGTGCGACTCTGGAAGGAATAATAGTGTCTTGGTGATGTAGACGTACCAATATGGTGAAGTGCATGGTGAGATGATCTGCTTCAATATATCTGTGCCTTTTGTCTTTAGGTTATAGTCACTGCAAAGTCGGTGACTTGTCTTCAGTCTGTCCCGTCCACAGGTCACGACAAGTCTTAGCGGAAGCTCCACTATTGTGCACATGCTGCATAGGTGAAAGTTGTGGATTAAAACTATCCGTTATATAGAATCAATTATTTATTTTCAAAAATAGTTTGTATCAAATTTGCTTGGCTTCATCAGACCGGTGAGATAATTTTCTGGATAATCTCCTGTAGCAAACTTTTGTTTGGACATTGGCCGTTTTGCTGCCTCTGTGAGAAATTTCCTAAAACGGTGAAAATAGTCAGTTGATACAATGTAAACGCCATGAAGAATTTAAATTTTCTTCTTTGTTTCATTTGTCCAGAAAGCAATATTTTTAACTCACATGAAGCTTATCTCAATCAATTTAAGATGGAATTATGGTAGTTGCCGTCATAACCTTACATTATCGAAAGGTAGAGGGTGAATCAAATATAAACGGTAATTGTGCGATTATCCTTTCTAGATTAAGTTATGTTCATGCGGGACCCATTTGCTTAACTTCCACGTCTTTCCTAGCTGATGAAGATGCAAACGAATAATTGCAGGACTCACTCTGAACATTTCTGCAAGTTCTTGGCACGTTCTCCTAGAATTTGCGTCACAACCTGTCGAAGATCCTATCGATCAACAACATCCATGGCAATGTGCGTATACAGCAACCGCACGAACTTATTTGGTTACCTGATACACCTGATAGTACGGGGAACTGCTATATCTCTTAACAGGGCAGACTTCTCTTTTTTGTCGATGTCAGGCCTGTGGTATGTGCCTATCTTATTATTATTATTATTTCCTCTTTTTCGGTTCAGCAACACTGGCCGTCACAACAGCCATGACCGAGCAGTAGTACCTTCGGCTGTTGCACAACGGATTATAATGAGGTTTTTAACCAATGAAGGCATTAAACCGTCATGATCGACGCCCAAGGACGAGCCTTACCGGTGACAATATTCGTGCCGTTTGAGAGCTTATTGAATGTGATCGCCGGATAACCGTGGCACAAATTTCATCAGAAGTGGGTATCAGCTATGGAAGTCTTCAATCTACAATCACTGATCAACTCGGTTTCGGAAAAATTAGTGCTCGATGGGTTCCGAGGTTCTTGACCAAAAACCAAAAACAGGGCAGGTCGGAGATCGCTGGAAGGCGATTCCAGCGAAAAGGGGATGATATCCGTTGTCACGTCATTCGATTATTAAAGAGGGTAAATTAAATATTGGGTGGAACAGGTGTCATGCATATGAGCTTATATCAGTAGTTCGTTACTATAGGCGCTGTGAATATGGGCATATTCAAAAAAGTTGTAGAAATCAAACAGTCTCTCCTCTTTGCGCTGGTAGTTATGATATGAAGCCTTACAAAAACAATTCATGATATTGGATTAATTGTGCAAATGCCAATAATAAACAGAATAAAGGCCTTGATCTATGTCACGGTGTGTCGGATAGCAAATGTATATATTTTTTTAAAGCGTATCGTGACGTGTGATGAGACGTAGGTATATCATCATCAAAACTAGCCAGTAGGAAGTGGCGAAGAAAGGACGAAGGTTGTCCAGTAAAGGCAAAGACTTGCCTCTCTGCTGGAAAAGTCCTTACAACGATTATTTTTTGACTCGACGGGACTGTTACTGATCGATTTTCTACACGATCAACGTACGGTGAATGCAGCTTACTACTGCCAGTTGTTACGGTCTCCAAAAGCCGCCTATTTAAACAAAAGACGAGCCATGCCCATTAGGGATTTCATTCTCCTCCATGACAATGCCAGGCCTCACACCGCGGCTTTGACAAGCGATACACTGGGATTGATCCTGTCAAGGGGATGACCAGGCGGAAGCACACTGAAGCGTTAGAAACTAAATTAAAAATCACGTTTCGACAAGTTTTCCATATGCTATGTAGAACCTTAAAATTAAGTTTGATCAACGAAGTTCGGCTATACAAGATCGTTAATAGACCACCGATCACTTACGCAAGTACGGCTTGATGTTTTCTCGTCAAAACGCATTTGCATAGTCTGACAGCTTTGCAGAATCTTGCGTACAATCCCTAACGCCCCATGGTATATCTCCAATAGACCCTTCACAGAAGCCTTGACATCGGTTATTTAAGGGACTACATCGGACAAGTGCAGCTGACGTTATAGTCAAGCGGAATACCATAGCAACATTTTGCTGCGCGAGTCAGTAGACTACACAGGCGAGCAAGTTCGCAAGCACACAAGGCCGCGGCTCGCACTGTGTACGTTACTCTTTCTCCTTCCTTGCTTTCTTCTTCCTCTTTTTCTTCCTGACTTTGTCTGGTATATGGGCAACCAAACCTGACAGACCTACTGACTTACAATACTTCAACCAAGAGCAAATGTCCTGCGGACCGCTCTGACAGACAATGAAGACTAGAAATGGGCTATGAAACCATTGAACACCCTGCTTATAGCCCCGACTTGTACCCCTGTGACTATCTTTTGTTCGCGCCCTTGGATAAATCACTGAGAAGAGAACGATTTGATAAAGACGTCGAGGAGCACGTCCGCAATTGGCTTACACTTCGCCCTCAAACTTCCTATGAACAGGGAATACTGAAACTTCCAAATCGGTGGCAGGACACTGTATTGAAAAATCATAAAACAATAATAGGATTATAAGGTTATTCAATAAACGTACAAAAAATAGCGTTTATATTTGATTTACCCTCGTTATCTTGCCATTTAGAAACAGATTCATAGAGCCTCCTTGAGGCTTGATGCTTCCTTTGAAACAATGGATCTCTCCTTGGAAACATTGAAACAAAGACGCTTTCTTGAGGATCGTTCATAAGAGGATTTTAGTTTTCATTTCATAGTAGGCTGTAACACTTGAATCTAGCATTTTGATGTTAAATTGGGACGATTTGGTTTATCAATAAATAATGAAAAATAATTATGTGTTCGCTTCCTTGAATTACAGCACAATCATAGAGAAGGCAAAAACTGAATATAGGCAACCGGTTGCACCGAACTACTCTGCTGCTGCTAAGTGGGTTTTTTCAATGATACTTTTAGTCCAGAATAGATAAAAAAAGATGAAAAAAAGTTTAGCAGATTCTGAAAATTTTAAATGGAAAGAAGTTGAGTCTCTCTAATGACAAATACGAGTACATAAAAAGATACAGCCAGATATGCGTTGTTTTGTATGAATACCAATTTTGTGTTTTAAGCATTAAAATCGATAAACAATTAAGCTAAATACGGAGCTTTTTAGCAATATTGAATAAATGTTTATAACTACTGCAATAACAATTATGAATCGCTAAACATTTGTGAAAATGAAAATAAAAATCATTGGCGTTGATAAGTGTGTTAAATTTCAGCCAGATCAGTTTAATAGTTTATGTAAAAAGCTAACTGTTTACCCCAGAGACAAATTATTTAAACAACTGTTCTTGTCCAAGATATGGCCCTAGAACATTTTAAAAAGTGAAATAGATTCTTGAGGGTTTTAGTTTCAAGAATTTAGGCAAATAATTAATTATTTATTTCAAAAATGATGTTAAAAATAGCCATTTTTATAGTTGTACAATAACTCCCTAATTTTTCAATATAATTTGTTTTAACAAGTTGATCTGGATAGGTGGTTGAAACACGCATATTTTTAACAAATCTTCTACGACCAATGGGCGCTAAAATATTTTTTTTAATCTCCTTCCTTTATCAACATTAAGACTCGGAATTTTCACATATTTTAATCAAGGATCTTAATTTTACGATACAATTTATAATTTTAATATTAAAAAATAGGCACCCGAAGTGAAGGTGCTCGCGTAAGTATTTCCAGGAAACGTGGTGGGGGAATCAGCTCTAGCTCGATTTAGTTTTTGAAATTGAGTCTTCAAATCGGCACGCGGTGCAAAATTTTGCATTATCTCGGCTTCTAAGCAACTTAGAGCCTTTTTTTAAGTTGGGGCAACTCGTCGAAATAATGACATCTGGCACGTTTTCATTATAATGGAAAATCGGGAAAACCCGGAAAACTTAACACGTTGTATTCTTTAAAATTGAATTACTATGAAATAATTTATATTTTACAATGAAATTGTTTAAACAATTCATGATTCAGTTAATTGGTATACTCTTAACAAAATATGAGCCCCTTCTCACTTCAGTTGGCCCAACTATCTATTGAAATCTTAGTTTTTTTCTTATCAAACACAAATAATAAAAATGTAGCAGGGTGTTATAGGTTTAAAATATTAACAATGAATATTTTGATAATATATAGTAGAAAACACCAACTTTATCACTCCCAGTCAATTACAGCATATCAACCTATTTTCATTTCAATGCAAAATAAGTCTATAACGCATAGGTGGCTGTGAAAAATAAAAGCCATGTCAATTGTTTTTATTAATCACAGCTGTCAGAACACGTTTAAACTAGTTTTGGGTAGTTAAGGTTTTCAAAATGGGTAGAGGAAAGGTTATTAGTGAGAAAATTCGGTTACTGATAAGTAATTAAATTTTTTAATTCTGGGAAATCAAACTCAGAAATTGCAACTTTGTTAGACTTATCGCGGTACAGTGTGAGAAATATTGTTAGAAGATATAACGTAACTGGTTCAGTTAATATTAAGCCACGATATGTAAAAAAAAGTAATACGAGTATCACAAATGCCGACCGAAGAGCATTAAGAAGAATAATCGTGAAAAAACAGGCGTGTCAATTATTTACAATTAAGTGCTCTATGGAGTGACGCTGTTGGAAGGAGAATTTCGAGGTCCACAACTCATAGAGAGGCCCACAAACTGGGATTTAGAACTTGCAAGGTAAGTTTTCTTATAAAAAAAGTGAAGTAAAAACCCTAAAGACGCACAACTTGTTTATATGCCAAAGAAAAGCCACTATTAACTCCACTGCAAAAGAAAAATCGGAAAAACAGAAAAGTGAAATTTCCAGCACCCATTATGGTCTGGGGCAGTATGTCATCAAAAGGAGTAGGAAAACTTCATTTTATTGATGGAAATGTGGATACAAACAAATATTTGGCAATTTTAGAAGAATCGCTTTTGCCAGTGATGGAAGAATGTTTGACATCCGGCCAAGATTTTGTGTTTCGGATGGAAGAAAATAATGTACCACTTTTGAAATGGGTTTCTAGCAGTCCAGATCTGTCACCTATTGAAACTTTGTGGCACGAGATGGAAAAGGTTCTACGACAACATCCTGCTCGTACAATCACCGAACTGAGACAAAAGCTTCAAGAAATATGGGATTGTTTTACACCAAATTTTTGCCAAAACTTGGTTAACACTATGCCCCAAAGAATTTCAGCCGTAATAAAAAATAAACGTGATTTTACCCAATGGTAATCTTTTAGTTGTTGCTTTGTTAACTTCGCGCATTTATTCGCACATTGTTTATTTGTTCAGATGTTCTATTAGTTATAGGTCTAAGTGATTTCAAATATGTATTTTTTACGACTAGAGTGTATCTAAGATGTTTTTGAGAAAATAAATTGTTTTAGAAGTAAATAGTTTCGTCATGTTTAGTTTATAAAGGCATATTTTGGTACAAATCTTGAAGTGGGCCAACTGAAGTGGGAAGGGGATCGTATACTCTAATAAATTGTAAAAAATACTGATTCACATTTGTCTTTTTTCATTTTTTCATTTACATTTATTTTATTTGCATTCGTTTTGTTTTAGTAATTTCGAGTCTTAATGTTTATAAACAGGAACATATGAATTCTGGCTTCTATTGGCCGTAGAAGGTTTTCTTAAAATGTGCATTTTTTAACCACATATCCAGATCAACTTGTTAAAATAAGTTATGTTGAAAATGATGTAGTTATTGTAAGTGCTTATAACTATAAAAATGTATATTTTACTATCATTTTTAACAGCAATTTTGAAATAAACAATTAATTTTTTGCATAAGTTCTTGAATTTGAAACCAACGATAATCGATTTCACATTTCGTCGGCTTTCTCACGAAGTGTCCTAACCAACGGTTAGTGAATTTTACAGGAGAGCAAGAAAACGAAATCAGCGTGTTGTTGATTGAGCATTGAATGTAAAATTTCCGAATTGAAAATTCACGTGTATTAGCCTATATTCATTGTGAATCATATGCCGTTTCAATATTTGCGGAAGCTTATCAAGCTATTTTGGAAAAAAAATGGAAAACGCACGTAGGTCACTTCGTGAGAATTTTCAGAAGATTTTTGTCAGACAGAGCTAAAATATATTTTCATTGAAGTTCTGGTTATTATAATTTTTTAAGATATACAGAATTTGTTTCATTTACTTATAAGCAAATAATCACATTTCCAGCCAAGGGGGCGATTATCTCAGAAAATTTGTTGATTGTTAAATTTTTTAAGTAATCGTTGGTCTGCTGACAGCAAAGTTTATGTAAAAAAGTTCAGATCGACTTTTGAAGTTTGGCTACCCCCTAAAATATTTTCCTCAATGTCCATGACTAAAATTGATGTAGATTATGACAAAAATCTTACGTGATTAGATGAAGAAAAGAACTCGAAACGTCAAACCAATTTTTATTGAAATAAAAACTAAAAGAAAAGCAACTGAAATATTATATTTTGACATATTACCAGCAAATGTTGATGTGTTGTGATACACAAAAAAAGGCAAAATTATCAACAATTCATTCCGTTTCATGGGCCAAATTTTGTAAAAGTTTTGGAATTCTGGTAAGCGTTCAACTAACTGGCGTTTTTCGGATTTTACATAACGAAATTAAGTCGGAGTACTTCTTTTTTGTTATTTTTAAGTTGTTCTAGTTTAATATCATTTATATTATTACTATTTCCCATCAGCCTTTTTAACTCAATACTGTCGTAACTAGTATCGTGGTCGCTAGACTTAAAAAATATTTTGGTGGGCGTGTCTTTTATTACAATAAACTCCGTTTAATATTTTGCCCCTCCTCAGCTTGCCGTGTGGACAATATTCTTAAATCTTTTGAAAGTTTCTTGAAGTCAAAAAATTCATTGGGAATTACTAAATAAGGTTGACGTTTTCTGGCGAATCAAAAAACCGGATAGAGTTATGAGGGTTCAAGAAGATCTCCAACTCCCGTTATCGCAGTATGAGTGCACTGTGAGCAGATTCTCCCTCACTTTGGCCGTGATTTCACCACCGAGGAGCGTATACTAACAAGGATTATTGGACACTAAGGGACTTATCTTCATTTAGGTCTCTTCGTGTGAATCATAAATTTACCTTTGCAGATAAGACACCCAGGGGCTAACGGTGTGTTGCCCACACTAATAGATATAGTTATGCTTCTTCGTCAGATTAACCAGCATGGAGTAATACACCTATATGCAGGTTATCTCAATTTTTGATATTTTGTCAGTTAGAACACTTCGTGAGAAGGGCGACGATTTGTAGAACGTTCTAGAACCATAACTTGGGCAAGAACAGTTGCTTAAATAATTCGTCTCTGGGATAAACAATTAGCCTTTTACCGATTACCGATTACCTTTTAACCGATCCGGCTGGAATTTAGCACACATCTTAACACCAATTAACACCATTCTCACAAATATTCAGCCATTTGCAATTGTTATTGCAATATTCATATTTCTAAAAAGTTCCGAATTTAGATTTATTGTTTATCGATTTAATTCTCAAAAACAAAAATTGAAGGTATTTTTGTGCTATAAAGTTTCCAGTTTACCGATTACTTATATTTAATTTGAAATTTATATAAGCAAAATACTGAATTTTGAGATTTTCCCATTATTTATAAAAAACAACGCCTATCTGGCTGTATCTTTTTATGTAGATACTTGTCATTGGATAGACTTTCATTTAAAACTTCGAGATATCTGCTAAACTTTTTTACACGAAATACCTATTTTTTTCTCTGTGGTCTGGGATATTTAAATTTATTTTTTCATAGTCACACATTATAATTTATAATATACAAAATTTGGGTATAAAATATGTTTTTTTTTTGTAAAATACTGTAGTAGTTGAATCTGACAGACGTGATCTACAATATGCAACCAGCAGAGCAGTTCGGTGCATCTGGTTGCCGATATCAAGTTTTTACTTCTCTATGATTGTGTTGTAATTCGATGAATCAAACATTATTGTTTTGCATTGTTTATTAATATTTAGCAAGAATAAACCAAATCGTCCTAAACAGATACGGCCAGCAAAGAAAAATATTTCTGAAATCGATGACAGCTTGTGATGACAACTGTTATAGCCTACTGTGAAATGAAAACATAAATCCTCTCTCAAGAAAGCGCCATTGTTTCAACGATTTGTCCAATATTTCCAAGCAAGTCTCAAGTCTCAAAGAAGTTCTATAAATTAATCTGACCCTTAATCTTGCCTAAATTGCTGTTCATGTGTATACGTTGTTGTAGTTCTGCATTATAATATTTTTAAGTGTTAAAAATGTTCAGTATGCTTGCGCTCTCTTCCCTAATAGAAGACGTTTTGCCATCTGGAGTTTTTCGACAGCATCAAAGTTTGCAAATAACGGTAATGTTAATACCCACCAATCTCTTCTGTTAACAATCCCATGTACATGTGGTAGTTCGAATCCATTGAAATCTGATGCTATCGATAGAGAGTAGGCTCCGATTTCTTCGAAAGCCACCCAATCTCCAATCGCTAGCTCGGGAAGAAGTACCGTCTCGGGGGAGACCCGATCGGAACCATCACAGGTGGCGCCCCAAACTGTACTTGGATAAACTGGTGCTCCTTTAGCTTCTTCGACGGGAGCTATCTTAACGTACAGGTCGTAGAGACCTTTAACAAATTAAACAAAACGACTCTTAACATACCGAGTGACAAAAAGGTTAACATCTACGTATGTTTATCCGATCTTAATAATTTTTGGCATATATGTTCAGTGTCCCTTACTATGATTCGTCAACTGACTGCAGAAGCTGGCTCAATAAACGGTTGAGTATCCACGATTTCTTATACACTCAATGACACGCCTGGGCATCGTGCTGATAAGGTAGTCGATATCCTGTTGGGGTATGTCATTCCAGGCTACTGCAACTTCGTAAGAGCTGCTAAAGTCTGTGGAGCCTGCGACCTACTATGTCCCAGACATTTTCAATTGGAAATAGATCAGGCGATCGCAGTGGCCAAGGTAAACGGTTGATGCGATGTTGATCCATGAAGGCTAACGGTGCTCTGGCAACATGCGGTCTGGCATTGTCTTGCTGAAAAATCGGGTTTTGGATGTGTTTAGGTTCTCATGAAAATTAGTGGTGATCTGCTACCATAAGCAATAGCACCCCATACCATAACTCCCACGGTGTGGTGGACGTGGCGCTCTCTGTCAAATTGTGGGTCACGTCTTTCATCACGTCGCCTTCTCACTTTTGCCCGACCATCGTGCATCCCCAGTCAGAAGCAGTATTCGTTACCAAAGACCACCCGATTCTATTTCTCTAAACCAGAACAAATGGTTACGCCGATGTTCAGCTGAGAGAGGTAGCACCCCTCTCAAAGTCACCAGGGGACACCCGGCGAGTTCTACGCACTCTAGGCATTCTGAGCAATCACAAAAGGGCATCTGAATAAGCTACACGAATTAACCGTAAATGCACGAAAACTGAATGCTTCTTTATCAGCAAACAATACACGCAGCCACCACAAAAACTTAACCAAAAAACCTGACCATTTTATCACTTCTTGTTGTTCATGGCAAGATACAGGGTTTGTCCGGAAAGTAATAGGACTCATTTTCTTCCGCCATGACTGTACTTCGGAGCGAGCACTTGGAGAGTCAGGACAGGCATTTTCGTGCGACGTGTTTCTGTGAGTGGTGCAAGCCGAAAATGCAGCGTTCGTTAGAGCAGAGGTACGCGATTAAATTCTGTGTGAAACTCGGTAAATCTGCGACAGAGACGTTTGATATGATCAAGCAGGCTCACCCAGGTGTTGCTTTAGCAAGAAGTGGTGTGTTTCGGTGGCACCAGGCCTTTTTGGAGGGCCGGGAAGAGGTCGCTGATGAAGACCGTGCTGGAAGACCTTCGACTTCGACAAACACCGATAATGTGACTCGTGTGCGCAAAGTTTTGAACTCAGACCGTCGACTAAGTATTCGTTTAATTGCCAAGATGTTAAATTTACCAAAATCTGTGGTTCATGACATTGTGACACAGCATTTGAACATGCGCAAGATGTGCGCGAAGATGGGCCCAAAAGTGCTCACTGACGACCAGAAATTGCGGCGAGTGGAAGTGTGCCAAGAAAATTTGAACATGTGAGAAAGTGACCCCCAATTTTTGAATAACGTAATCACAAGTGACGAGTCGTGGATCTTTGAGTATGATCCCGAGACAAAGAGGCAATCTTCCGAGTGGCACACGACGGCATCTCCTCGTCCAAAAAAGGGAAGAATGAGCAAATCCAAAGTGAAAACGATGCTCATTGTCTTTTTTGACATCAAAGGCATCGTCCATCATGAATTTGTTCCTCCTGGACAAACCGTCAACGCCAAGTTTTACGTGGAAGTGCTCAGTAGACTCAAACGAAGGGTCAGTCGGGTCCGACAAAATATAGCAGCTGACTGGAAGTTGCACCACGACAACGCCCCGGCTCACACCGCCTTTTTTGTGACCGACCAAGGCCGGCATCCCAACGCTTCCGCAACCACTCTACAGCCCAGATGTGCCCCCCGGACTTTTTTTTGTTTCCTCGCCTGAAAAGGCCGATGAAAGGCAATCATTTTGAGACGACAGAGGGGATCCAAGCAGCATGCACCGCGGCTCTCAAGGCAATTCCGGAGAATGCCTTCCGTGACGCCTTCAATGCTTGGAAATCGCGCTGGCAGCACTGCATCGACGCAGAAGGAGCCTATTTTGAAAGTTTTTAAAGAATTGTAACGATTATCTCAATAAATTTTTTTAAATCGACTCAGTCCTAATACTTTCCGGACAAACCCTGTAAATCGATATGTAACAAATCCTTGAATTCTAATAAACATACGTAGGTATGTCACTTTTTTGTCACTCAGTATAATCAGGATATCTCTAGTTTTGAAGTCGCCATTTACATCGTAGGATTCGTAAGTAAGTCTATAAAAATAACATCAATACACAAAGCTTCGAGTCATTGAACAATAGTATTACAGACAGACAGTAGAAGGTATTTTAAAAAACAGTGCCTTAGTGAACGTGTGATCAGTTGGGTCAGAAAGTTCGAGTCTACAGGTCCGACACTGAATCAGAAACCATGGTCAATACGAACAGAGGAAACTGTAAGCGAAGTTGAGGAGACATCCGTACCGCGCGATCCCCAGTTATCCCGAAAGAGATCAGCTGAAATCGCCATATGAAGAACATGTTTAAGGCATAGTTCGGCAAAAGATCTCAAATTTCACCTATCCAAAATCCAATTAGTGCAGGATGACCACCATCTACGCCATGCTTTTGCCGAAACAATTTTAAAGCATCTTGAATGATTTCAACAAGATGGCACGGCATCCCATACAGGTAAGGAGCCTTTAGCAGTTATAAACGAAATGTTTAGTGGAAAACTGATATCGCGACACAGGGACATTCCGTGGTCTCCCCGGAGTCCAGGTGTCACGCCACTGGATTTTTTCTCTGGGGATAACTCAAGAGCCGCGTTTACGCCAATAAACTAACGACAATTGTCCAGCTCAAAAACAACATTCACAAGGAGATGTCTGCTATCCCACGAGCAATGAATCCCATGTGTCTTCTTTATTGAAAATATAAATTATCTTCCGTACGCTTTGTAGATTTTTTCCATGATTTTTTAAAATCCGCTCAACCTAATGGCCCACCCCGAGATGTTTTTTGGATGTTATGTGACATGTCAATCACGAAAAACAAAACAAATAATCGTTTAAACTCAAATATATGAATGTGAAGTTATTTTATTGTCAAGTAGTTTCTAAAAATATTAAGCTACTTGACTTGATAAATCCCCAAACACGACTCCAGTAATCATTGAAGATTACCCATTGTCGGTTTATAGCTCACAGGACTCCGAACTGTGTTACGCTTGACGCCAGTGATACGGTTGGCGCCAAGGCGTCAAAAAACAAGTGTCGTATAATATGTAATAATCAGTCTTTATCAAACATTGTCAAGATTTAGCTAAAGAAAACTAAATTAGAACTACAGTGGTCTCTTAAGAACAAAATAATGTATTTTTGTTTCCAACATTTTATAAAAAAAAGAGACAACAAAACAAAAGTAACAACTTATGGTCTATTGTGATACGGTTGGCACCAGTGATACGCTTGGCGCCAAGGCATCAAAATGCTATGTCTTTTACACAACCTGCTGGGCAAGGTGATGCGTTACTACAGAAGCGGGGGGCCCCAGATATGCCGCCTAAGGTAAGTATGCGCACTGGATGGTGAAACATAAACCAGTGATCTTAACCTAATGGCTAATGTTACAACAACAAATCGGGTGCTCTATATTCCAGGTGTCCCAGGAACCTGAAGTTTTACACAAATAAACCCTACACAGCCTAATCTGACCTGCAATCCCTGGAATCACCTGTTGGTGTCAACCAGCCCTCAGATGGTCAAATGTATGCATGCAGCAGGAAGCAAAAGACGTTGAAGTAAAGAAGAAACAGAATAAAGAAAACGAAAAAGGCATAGGTGTAGGGTGGCCTTTAATGTAAATGGAAATCTCCCAATCTGAATAATCCCACAATACTAGTGGTACGCCTATAGCACTTATAATTGTGAAGATTTCTCTTTTTCAGCTATTTTCCGGTACCATATCCGCCTTTGCGTAACAGACGCTCCGTTCGGTACCGAAAATTTGCAATGGCGATCCCTTTTCTTTTTTTCCTTGTTGCCCGCGTCTCGCGCCTGACATTTCCACGCCAGTTGACATGCTATCATTCTCACCTTTGACAGTGACAGCCGACTTGATACCTGTCCGCAAACTTCATTGCTAATTGCTCTTAAGGTTATAAAATTGTAAACAATGACTAGGGTGGCTTCAGGGGCACTGATTTATGAAAGGAAACAAGTAATTTGACTTCAACAGTGTGAGTTAAGTATCTGCTACTTATGAAGTTTTGTTTCAGACTCGTTAGGGCAGGTCCACCAGAAGGGAGCGAATCAACAGGTGAAAACAGGAATGAAAATGCTATGTACAATGTATATACCCCTATACACAATAAATTTTAGCAAGGGCATGAGATCCATATATTCTTATCTATCTATATCGTATCTTATGAACTAGCAAACGAGTAAGTAGTAGAGAACCATCTAATTCGTAAAATCTCTGCAGCTATAACTTACAACAGAAAAAAGGTCGTAACAACTGTGAACCCTTCTGAAGATGCCAACCACTCGTGCTGGCGAAAATATTTTACGGCCGCGAAAGCCTTTCGCATTTCATAGTTCATTTCGTTTTATTTTTATGAATTATTCCATTTCTGACATTCACTATCACACTACTTCGTTTGCGCATTTGCAGTGATATTTTCAACGAAATCGAGTAGAGATTCATCAAGTCAAGTAGCTTGATATCTTTAGAAACTAAGTGACCTCAAAATATAATTTCTTGAAACGTTAATACTTGATTTGATCTTTTATTGTTCTACTTCACTTGAGGTCAAGAATTTTCAAACTACTTGAAACTTGATGGCAAATTATATTTTTGTTCAACTAAAGACCTTCAGTGATATTTATTTGTACAACCGATGAGCCGTATTTTGTATTTTAATGCAAATAATCACTAGTGGTGGAAAAGGCATGAAAATGTATTTCAAAATATAGTTTTAATGGAAAAAGCTTTTTTATCGACATCACAGTCCATTGAAACAATTTTTTTCAGGGCTGCACTGAACATTACGGAACCCCGCAACAGATTAAGCGATACATCCGTTAGGTCCATCATGTGTCAAATTTGAGCTTACAGTTTTAGCATTCTCTTATTTTTGATACGATGAACATAATATTTTGTTCAATATGTACTGTTTACTTTGTAACTTGTCAGAAAGTCTTTCCGTTGTATATTTATAATCTACGAGTACGACGACTGTCCAGCTCTCGTATTTATATTAGAAAAATTATCAAGTAATATCAAAACTACTGGAATTTAGTACCTGACGTAGAAACTGCTTGGCTTGATTCACATTGCTAATATCTAATACTTGTCTTGAGCTTGACTTAAGTCAAGTAGCTTGACAATCGAATCAATTATTGAATCCATAAAAACAAGTAAGCTGCATGAATATATTACGTACCTATGATAATAGAGTTGAATACACTGATGTCCACATAGTACATTCTGATCAGTTCGCTACCATTTTGACTAGGCAGACATCTTTTCGAATGGATTTGCGTCACTAGAGTGAACGCCGATATCACAAAATACTGGCCTGGCTCTGCTATTATCTTTATAGACGGATCCGGGAAGTATTGATCTATGAATTTATTGACAGCTATCCCAACCTGCAAATTCAAAAGACTATACTGCCTTACTCAGGTTTTTTAAATTCGGACGCAACAACATTTCTTTAATGATTACAGTACAAAACATATTGATCACGTTATATAACAGAAATAGTTATTTTTCCCTTTTGTCAAATATTTCGTTTTACAAGGGATGTCTATTAAGTTTTGCATATAGAAACATAGTAGGCTGCGCGGATCGAACGTCAGTACTGAATCTTGACCTCACTCTTTAGTAAACTTAAATTCAATACGTGCAGTGTTCTCACTACAGTGCATTTTTAAGTGTCACGAAGTCATTAGAGAAATGGAACTCAACTGAGAACATTTTCGCGCCATAATTTATTACAACAATGCCTTGCTGAGTTACTGTCTGTTTTCGGCAACGAAGCGCCACCTCAGTCGACAATTTCCCATTGGTATGAAGAATTCAAACGTGGACGGGTGAGTCTTAGCGACGATCCCAGGGTGGGTGCACTTAAAACGGCAGATAGACATGTGACATATCGCGAGATTGAGGCGTCCTTGAAGATCTCAATTCAAAAAATTTTACATGAAGAATTAGGAGTAAGAAAATTAGTTTCTCGTTGGATACCCCACCTGTTGACTGAAGAGCAGAAAGCAGCCAGGGTTATTTGTTGTCAAAAAACGCTTGACCGTTTCAATTCCGGAAACTCAAAAAATGTGTAGAGCATTGTTGGTGGTGATGAATCGTGGATTTACTGTTATGAACCAGAAAATAAACGACAGTCGGCTGTTTGGGTGTTCCAAGGTGAAGAAAAGCCAACAAAAGTGATCCGTTCTCGAAGTGTTTCGAAAAAGATGGTCGCGACATTTGTGTCAAAAGCGGGTCATATTGCAACAATTCCTCTTAATGAGCAAACAACTGTTACTGCGGATTGGTATACCACCATTTGTTTGCCAAAAGTCATCACCGATTTCTTTACTTTCCCGAAAATTAAAAACAGACTGTGGTCAAAGGTTCCAGTCACTAGAAGAAGCAGTTGACGGATTCAAAAATGCCGTTTTGGATCTGCCAGCAAACGTGTGGAATAAGTGCTTTGAAAATTGGTTCGAGCGCATGCAGATGTGTATTAATCTTCGTGGAGAATACTTTGGAAAACAATAAAGTCATTTAAAATTACCTACCGTGTTGTTTTACTTCCATATGAAAAACTTAAAAGACATCCTTCGTAATTACATTTCCTAAGCATAAAAGCAGTAAACCAATTTATCAAAGCCAAATTGCGGTAGTCTTCAAACTATACTGGTTTTATTCTCTGCATGATACAAGCACTGCCTTTTTACCCTTGTACCTATTACGATGTTTACTAATTTAATTTTTTTATGCAATAACCCTATTATTTGTGAATAATATGTATGTATCGTTATAAATAATTACTTTTGCTCCGGAAGAATAGTTTTCAGTTTATATAATTTTTTATTTTTGTTGAATGTAACACTGGTCAACACTGGTTTTGCCACACGAACTTTGACAGCTAATTTTGTTTTATCAGTCTACCCTCATTATTATATGACAGCTGTCATATGTCTATTAGCCTCATATTTGTTGTGATACGGTAATACTCATAACTAGTACTACGGCAGTAAATTAACAGAAACGCTTACAAGTAAATCCTTATAAAAATATTTGTTGTTGAATTTGAACACTTTTTTGTGATTTATTAACCCTGTGAATATGTCAAGGAAGTGTAATAATGATCCTAACTCTTTTTGTTATGTCTGCGGAGAACTAACATTCAAATAACAACGACGAAATTTTACGAATCTTGTGTTCGAGTGTTATCACCAATGTTTTGGTTTTTCTGTCGCCCATCAAGACAAATCCTGGGCCCCTCATGTCTGTTGCATAACGTGTGTGAAAAATTTAACTGACTGGAAGAAAGGTGCACGACCTATGCCGTTTGCTGTACCCATGATATGGACTGAACAGCGAGATCACGTTGTTGCACTATTACTTGGACTTCAGCTGGGTTATACAAAGTTTTGCTGCTTTTTATGTGAATGGGATAGCCGAGACAGAACTAATCACTATATAAAAAAAGCATGGCCTACGCGTGCATCATTAGTTCCTGGGCAAAAAAACGTAAAGTATTTACCCCTTGTACAGCCAAATAATGTGCTTCTACCACCATTGCATATCAAATTAGGATTAATAAAAAATTTTGTGAAGGCAATGGATCGCAATGGGAGTGGATTTTTGTATCTAAAAGAAAAATTCCCTAAAATAAGTGATGCAAAGATAAAAGAGGGTATTTTTGTTGGCCCTCAAATTAGGGAGTTAATAAAAGATTCAAGATTTGAAGAAAAATTAAGCGATTTAGAAACATCTGCATGGAAGGCTTTTAAAAATGTTGTTGCAAATTTTTTGGGTAACCACAAGAGTGACAGCTACAGAAAGTTGGTTAGCGAGCTATTATTGTCATATCAAGCATTGGGTTGCAACATGTCACTTAAGATCCATTTTTTAGACTCGCACCTGGATTTTTTTCCTGACAATTTAGGGGCTGTCAGCGACGAGCACAATGAGAGGTTCCATCAGGACATTTCTAATATGGAAAAGCGGTACCAGCGCAAATGGAGCCCAAATATGTTAGCAGATTACTGCTGGACAATTAAAAGGGACCAACCAGAAGCTAAATATTCAAGAAAATCTTAGATTATTAAGTCATTTATAAAAAAACATAACTTTTGATTTACGAGATCTGTGTTTTTTCTTAATATTTTAAATTACTCAATAGAATAAAATCCTTGTCTAGCAAATTTTTTTCAACTGTTTATTTTTTCTTACAATCACCAATAAAGTAAAAAATATCAAAAAAGTCCGTGTGGCACGACAAAGTTAAAATTTTGTTGACCAGTGTAATTATTACATATATATGTAATTATATCATTTTAAATTGAATTATTAGATCTTGAAGTGGTTTATCTTATGCTATTTATATGAATTTCAGTATGAATAACTTATATGAAAATATAATACAATTCTACATTAGCGCGTTCTTGCTTTGAAAAAATAATATGAATAAATACGAAAAAAGGAAGTAAATTTATTTTTGGAGATGTTACTGCTTTTGGATTTACGGCAATTAAAGACCGAATGTCATTTATTTCAGTCCTCAAGAACAATTATAACCTGAAATCATATTCAAATGACTCCCTATAAAGTCATAATAACACTATTATTTATTTAGTTCCAAAAAATCCAGAATGTATTACTTGATTTTCTGACTTCTATATTTACACTTTACTGCCTTTTACTTAAATATGGCAGTATAAGAGGTATCACAATAGGTTTCACACTTTGATACTAATATGATATGGCATTTTTTTTCGACAAAACCAAAAAGTAAATTCTGAGTGATTGTCTATAAAGGAGGAGGAGCAAGGTCCGAACAAAAATTTCGCTCAAAAGTTGTGAGGTAATTTTTTGCACAACATACTAACCTAATTTTTCACGCGCTGTCCTTATAATGTAATATGATACTACATCTGATATGGAAGTTCGTCTTCCTTTAGAAGTGTGTGTGTATTTTAAAAGAAACGTTCACTCGTATTTTTTCTCTTTTAGCCATAGAATACAAAGTTACCAGTAGAAGGTGTAACTCGCGAAAAAGCTTTTGATCTTCTGACTTCTAAAACTGACATTTTTCGAAGAACTCGGATCCTTCTTATAGATGCGTCACTTGAAGTGGTCCCGCACTTTTTGTTGCTTTATACAGGGTAGTGCTGTCGTGTGTACGAAATTGTTTGTAATGACATTGAGTAATTGTATTTATACAAGATGATTCATGCCATTATTGTTTTTATAGCATGGACAATGGATGACAAATATCCTTTGCTTGAAAAATTGCGAGTAAAAGTCACTGACTGGTGATGATTAATCTGTCTTCTTTATCATTACGTAACCGCTGTGTCGATTTTGCCAAAACTTGCAATATAGTGTATGGACACAAATTTGGAAAAATGGGTATAGGGGCGCTGAGATAAGTAAAAAACAAATCTCTTATCTGTAGTTTTGGTAAAAAACGGAATAAATTATAGAAAATAACGAGGAAGAATTCCACCAATTCCGAAACATATTCAACGAAGCTCCGAAAAGGCACTATCAAGCCTCCAAATTGATCATGTGTTATTTTATAAATTAGAAGTAAAACTTCAAATGACAGCTTTGTGATATCACGTTTTGGACACTGGTGCACTCATGAATCGTAGATAAATTTTAGGTGGACCTCCTTCATCATTTACACCACGACCTGAACTCCTGTATGAAAAAACGGATTACAAAAATGCTGGAATAACAATACTTAGATAAAATCATTAGCAAAGCATCGGGACACCATTTCCCTCCTTTATCTTGTACCCAGGCACGCAGCACCATCTTGTCATAGCGAATCGCCCTGTACACAACCAACAGCCGCGGGATCGAATGCCGCCGGCCATCGACTACCTGGGAAGTTATAGTATAGTAGTGCTTAGTAAAAATATTTTTATTCTTTTTTCGCATAATCTCATTAAAAAAAGACTAATGTATCTGCATGTTCCCAGACCTAAAATTGCGGCAAAAATTGTTTTTCTTTTTTATTAAGGTTGTGCAATAAACCAAACGAGAATATTTTTCTCAACAGATGCTGCCTGAACTGTTACTGCAGGTAATGAATTGGTGATGGCATCAAAATAGCAGGTAGTATTTCAGCCACCAAAGGTATCATGTCAGTCACCACGACAGTATCTCTTTTTCCGATGGAGTGGCTCTTCTACTGGCAACTCTGTATTGCATAATTTCAGCTTACCTCGTTAATCGAAGATCCCGTATTACCAGAAAACCCTCCACCGATATCCAACAACTTGAACTGATAGCCAAGTTCAGCGCCCATATCAAAAACTTTTCTTGAGGCTATAATAGCCTTTTGGTATACATCAAGGTGCGTATTTCCCGATCCAATGTGAAAGGATACTCCAATCACTTCCAAACCGAGTGATTTCGCCTTTTCCAAAAGATCTTTCGCTGCCGTGTCTGGATTAGCTCCAAATTTTCCTCCTAATGGAAAGTTTGACCTCGGGTCGTCATACTTTATCCGTAGAACTAACCTAGAAGTACCATCTATACAGCTTATCGGTATATAAGTATTTTTCATTTATTATTTATAATTAATAATTAATAATAATATAAATAATTATAATGAAATTAGACTCGAAACGATAAGGCGAAGTTTAGCCAGTTAGCGTCAAATACACCCAACCCTATTGTGTGAAGAAACATGTACATAGAATATACTCGTAAAATAAGATACACACAAACCTAAGAATAAATAATCCTATTTGATGTTCAACTGTGTGAACTAATGAAAAAGATAAAAAAAAGATCATAACAGCTAATCACAACATTTTGACAGCTGATTTACGCTTTCACTTACCCAGGCAGAGTCGGTATAGTTGTATAACCTCACTGCATTTAAAGTAACACATTTTTGAAACAATGCGGTGTAGCGCAAACGCATTGTAAGGTTATTATTATGCCTCAGATTTCTAAGATGAATGATTCCTCTAGTTATCAACTTACTATGCAGATAAATAGGCTTTTTAGTACTTATGCACAAATACATTAGGATTACATTCAAATCGTTCATCCATTTTCAGCCATTTCAACTTCTTCATCTTAGAGGAGACATGACTATATTTTCGTAGACCATATACAAATCTACAGCAGTTCTTTTGCCTTCTTTTGTTTCTACACCAATACATCGGGTGAAGCCAAGAATAATATAAAATTAAAGCTTAGTAAAGGCTGGATATTATCAAACTTCCAACTAGCTCTTTATGGGTTTTAAAATTCATGAATCTATTAGAATACAGTAGCCTTCATTTGATGTAGGTACTTTTCGATAGATGACTCACATAATCATCAAATCTTAAACTAGACACCAAGATTTTTTACTTGTAGGAATGAATTCATTCTTAATGACCAATGCGATCGTGATTTTACACTATTATACAACTACTTAGGACAAAAAAGCATGCAAGTACTCTTATCATGATTAATCTTCAACACGTGTCTCTTACAAAAATCACTTACATTAGTAAGATCGTATAGCTTACTTTACATGACACTTCATCCAGGTAAGACAAGTCAACATGACATGAAAGTTGCGTATAATCCGCGTAAGTTTTATATAGCCCAATGTTCAATCATGAATGTAACTCAAAATTATATATTAAATACAGCAAATAATCTAAAATCGACCCCTGAGGGACATCTAAAGAAATATCCACAGAAGATGAGACAGCTCTAACTGTTTTTACCTTTTGTTCATGATTAGGTAAGTAAGCTTCAAAAAACTTAGATCAAAAGAAGTCGTGTTTTTGCAAAACTGATTCAACTAATGCAAGTGCAACACTGCTTCAAACTAATTCAAGACTTTTGGCCTTTACTTCACACTACTTCCACGCTAGTGGTGCCGGAGGTTTAAGGCTAGTAGAGATATAAGGCTTATGGAGTTGCTTCCAGCACCATCACTGTGGTTTTAGTTTGAACAGAATCTGACTTTTGGCCTGATTAACTCAATAATCGTCAATATTTGTGTATATAAAAAGTTCAGCATTTGGAGCCTTTGCAATATACTTGGAGGTAGTACTTATATGTTTAAAACTTCACATGTAATTCTTGCCTGTAGGAATTTTTATTTCAATGAATCACTCGTTTGCTACATGTTTTGGAAACTCGCTATAGGCATGTTCTACTCGAAAAATTGCATGTTACTGATTATTTTCCTGATTAGTCAATGAGTTGGATAAACACAAATAATAGAATATACTAACTTAGCTGTTGGAAACATGTGTTTGACCTTGTGCAACTCCATCTCATTGTCAAATGTCATCATCTCGATTCCAACTTCTGCGGCATACTTCAAATGACTCAACTTCTTCGTAGGATGTGCGTAAATGATTTTGTTTGGTGGAACACCCAGAGAAAGAATTTTCTTGATCTCTTCTTTGGAGGCGCAGTCGAAACCTGATCCCATAGCCACCAGGGTTTCCAGGACGAGCCTGTGAGCATTGCATTTTACAGCTGCAAAGTATCAGAATAGAGTCTAAAATTTTACATTTCACTATCTATAAACATAAAGCTTTGAGTGGCGACCAAAAAATATCTCAGCTGCAAAGTACCAGAATAGATATAGTTTGAAATTTTACATTTTACATGTATAAACATAAAGCTTCGGGTGGCGATCAAAAAATATGATTTGGGTGAAGTTTCGAAAAACTGGAAGACGTCTCAATACAAGGTGGCGCAAAAGTAATGTGTCATAGTTTGAATTGGCCGCCATTTTTGCAAATGGTGCTAAATGTCACTGTGCTTTGACATTTATGATGTAGATATATCGAGAATGTTTTAATTTAATATTTGCCAAAAATACAGGTTTGCTATAATTTGTTGTCAGTACAAGAGCAACAATGACAAATTAAAGCATTTCCATGTAATTCATGCGTTGGAAGTTTCTGGTTATCGCACACTCTCATACTGAAGTTTCCTTTTTCTGTAGTATCACCTGTGCAACAACTTCAGCCGTGAAATGGCACTGGTTATTTGTTTGTTTAAAATAGTAATAAAATTAAAAATGCGTTGAAACCACAACTATGCGTAAAGTATAAAAAAGTGGTAATAAAGGTTAAGAATATTAAAACAAGAGATACTAGTTTCACACATTAAAAAAGTACTAAAACTTGACACTAATAAAATTATTATATATTTCACATTTCTTCACATTCAACTTCACATTTAAATATTCAAAACAAAAAATAAACCTATAGAGGCTGTCGTAAGTATAACAGAAGAGTAAAATATAGTAAAAACAAAATTAATATAAAAAGAGCACTACAAATATACGAAAATCATCACATTCATTTAGGCTGGTGACTATATCTGGGCTTTACATAGAGGCATGAATAACGTCTTGCCATCTATATACTCATAGATTTTTTCCTAGAGATGGTTGTTATCTACAATGAAATTCTTTTTTTAAAGAGTCCAATATTTTCCATTGTTTTGTAAGCGATAAGCATTTCGTTGTGCAGCTTGGGGTATAGATAAGCCCAAGAGCGGTGTAATAGTGTTTTTTCCGGCTTGGTTACTATCTGGTGGCAGAGTCGCCTTCTGGCGGGTGTCACATTTGTGGATCATTTTGTTCATGTTTCTTCAAGTTTTATTTTTAATGTAATACTCCAAGGAATTAAAGATAAAAATCTTATATCCAACATTTTGCCAAAAATAATCTATAATATACATTTTTGAGCAATTTCTAAGTTTCTTAGATATGTGAATGCCGCTTCCCCAACCAATTACTCCAAAGCAAGGATGTGACTGCACAAGTGCGTAGTATCTACAATGAAAGCTAAGCCCGTTTGCGGAGTACTTAAACTGTGGCATGAGGCATCCTATTTCCTTTGTTACATAGTCAACTTGACAAACCCATCTCAACTTTTCATCAATATAAATTCTGAGATATTTAAAGCTGGTTTGACATTTGATAGTGACAGTCACAGATTATTAGCCACATTACATACTACTCGTCATTATTCGTCAGAGCGATCCGGTGGACCTTTGCTCTTAGTTAAAAGTCTCGTCGGTCTGTTAGTCTGTCAGTTCTGGCTACCCAGATCCCAAACATGTTTAAAGGGAAAAGAGAAAGAAGGAAAGAAAGGAAGGAAGAAATAGTAAGTAAATCATTTGAAATAGCTTAGGCATTATTGCTTTGACTACTTTGACTTATTTTGCAACTCCAAAAATAATTTTGATCGGTTTTGTATACTGAAATAATTTTGGTTGGTCTGAATTTACAATTTAATTTTGATCACAGTGCGAGGCGCAGCCTGGAATGTTTGCGAACTTGCTCGACTGTGTAGTCTTCTGAATCACGCAACAGAGGGTTTCTCTGCGATGCCGCTTGATTATAACGCCGCTGCGCCTGTTGTTTTACGTAATCCCTTAGATATGGGATATCAAGATGTCTGTGAATGATCTCATTTGACACGTACCAAGGGGCGTTAGTAATTGTGCGTAGGGTTCTGTTTTGCTGGACTAGCAGTCTCTGCATGTGCGTCTTGACAAGTAAAACACCAAGCCGCGCATGCGTAGGTGATTGCAGGTCGTATGACCATTTTATAGAACCGAATCTTGTTGATCAAAGTTAATTTTGAATTTATACACAACAAGGGATAAAGCTGCCGAAATGTAATTTGGAATTTTGTTTTCAAAATATCAGTATGTTTCTGCCAGGTCCACCCCTTGTCAATTATGACTCCAAGATACCTGACAGATTGCTCCCTTGGTACACGAGTTCTATTCACTGAAATCTCTGAGGGGGCAAGACGACGTTTTTCAGTACAAAAGATTGCCTGCGTTTTCTAAGTATTAATTTTTATCAACCACCGATCCGCCCACTCCAATACCTCCTCCACCGCACTCTGTAGCCTTTCGGGAACCAGGTTACCAGAACAAGACTGGGCTAGCAATGCAGTGTCGTCAGCATAGAGATAGACTTCACAGTTGCTGGGGCAAGGGACTTCATGTATATAAAGTGAATAAAGGATTGGTCCTAATAACGAACCCTGAGGAACACCGACTCTCACGGGCCGTGTTGTTGACAACACATTGTTATTTTTGATCCGAAACTTCCTTCCTTCTAGAAAAGATGTCAACAGTTTTAGTAGCCAAAATGGAAAACCCTTTTGGATGAGCTTATACAAGAGGCCCATGTGCCACACCTTGTCAAATGCCTTTGGATACAGTACTTTTGTTCAGGGTGAACCCCCTGGTTACATGCTCCACCAGTCTATCTGCTTGTAAGTCCGTACTATGCTCAGGTCGAAAGCCGAATTGCACGTCAGGAATCACATAGTCATCTGACGAGAAATTCTTAAGGTGACGATAAATCACCTTTTTAGCGAGCTTAGAAGGACCTGACAGCAGACTAATGGGACGGTAATCCTGGGGGAATATCGAACCTGCCTTCTTTGGGATCATGATGACTTCAGCGACCTTCCACGCCTTAAGAAAGTAATGTTCTGAGCATTGCATTGATTATCGCCACCAGCTAAGTCAAAGCCTTGAGCGAAAGCAAACTTCAGTGCTTTGTTGGTTATTTGATCCTCTCCAGGTGCTTTACGCACCTTTATTTCCTTAATGTGGCCTTGGAGCTCTGCTGGTGTGCAAAAGGGAATCTCATAGGATTCCGTTGATGTGCTATGCTGAGATTCATCTGAAGAGTCCTCCGAAGAAGAATTTTCTGAAAAGGACTCACCGATGTTAGCACCGATGTTGGTATCGCCATTCGCTCTGAAGTATCTCCTGACAGATCTTAAAATTTGTCGCTCCCCGTCCAGGTCATTATCCAGATCATAATTGGGAGAGAACTGACTTTCCATGACGTCAGCAGAAACCTCCACTTTATCGTCAGTCCTGATAACTATGCCTCCAGGATCATGAATATGTGGTAGTTGTTCTTGCCTTCCGCTTCTGAGCGATTTTGTCACTTTCCAGAGAGGAATACTTGATTCACACTGGATTCTGATCAGTGGCACTTGCCCCTCTATTAACCTCGAGTTGCATTATATTAGTTTTATCAACAAATGTATACAGGGTGTTGTTAATTATACTAACTTAAAAAACATGTATTCGTTATAGCAATTAGCAATTACAGTTTCCAATTGTTTATCCACTTTTATTCTGTAAAATAACATACAACATATAATAAGTATGTAAATACATACATGGCATTTAAAAAATGGCGTCAAATCTATTGATACATTTTGTTACTATGTATGTATAATCTCGTTTGATCCATGTCATTCTTGGCACACTACTTTATATGCTAAGGGCAATAAAAACCGATAGAGTCGGAGCGGGGCTACGGGCATGGATCCACCTCCGTTCAGGGGGCTCGACAAACATCTCTTACCTCACCTCTGAAGAGGACGCAGACGAAGACATAGCTTGTCAACCTCTTTTCCTGTTATGGCTGAACTATACATTAGCGCATATCACAAATATTTCATTTCTTATTTTAAAATGAAAGATTAGGATGTAACTTGCACGAAAATATCATTTTTTTTAAGGAACCCTTTGCTTGCAATTTTATAGAACTTCAAAGTTGCATTTTGGGTGCGAATACTGCGGTATAGAATACTGCTTTATAAGCTGTTTTCTTCTTGTTTATACAAAAGATTGTTCAAAATTATATGCATATAACATACACTGTAAGTTACTGTGATACTGTTCATGGCAATAATGCAAATTTGCATTATTTTAATGATGAAAATATTTCATTAAGTAGTCATTTCTTTTATTTCAGATAATTATTTCCATCACTACACCACCGTCACTGTCATATTCTCTCCATCTAGTTGCGATGTTGCCAAATCATAGATAGTAATATACTTTAATTTGGTTTGTCAAATTCTTACTTATATACTAGCGCAAAAATGTGCAATCAGCACAGGCTTGTCATGAAAATGCGATTTGGAGGTGTAGCCGGTAGGTTTTACTGTGCTAAATCCACCTTGTGCCCTACGATTCCGTTAGCTAAGGAGACTTTTTTGAAGAATGCCTTCAGAAAAATACTTCGGTTATTGTTTTTCCTATATTATAGTTATAATTTATATACTTTTTGTATGTATGTACTTGAAGAATTATTTAAAGTGAAGCTGATGTTACAAACTTTACCTAATCAGATGTGATATTTATGAGAAATAACTGAAAAAGTAGCTGTTGCAAATCACTAGATAATGAAAACATAACAAAGAACATTGCAATTTTTTTGATGATTTGATAAAATGATCGTTGATCTTTATTTAAGTATAATGTTGGAAGATATGTTGGGTGGACCTGGCGAGGTGGTCCAAATCGAATAATCAATGTTGGGTATTTTTATATGCAATGACCGCTAGTGCCTTTTGTATTTTTTATGTCACGCGAGCCGCTGGTACATTTTCCACTGTTTAGACACATACTGTTCAAAATTTCATCTAGTTTTCGGTAAATATTGGGATAATTTTTCATAAATCAAGCCA